GGAGGTTGAGAAAAAGCCCTCTCACCCAACTAGCTTTCCAAAATACAACACCAAGGGCCTAAAAGTGTAATTAAATTATTCAGCAAGTAATAAGAGTCAAGCTATGCAAAAGGGTCTGTCACTCTACATGGACACCCACTCAACAACAAATGGACTCAGTGTCCAAGGTTATGGTCCAGCCATGATTGAGAAGGTACTCAATATGGATGCTTACAGATGTGGAAGGAAAAACAAAACAGCACTTTATTTTCAGCTCAGCGCACTCCCACACCAAGCACAGCACATGCCCAAAAGAAGCATAGCGTTAGTTTGACCTGGCTCACCCAACATCTGTATAGATCAGGACGCATCAGCGGGGCTTTTTGCTGCTTTTATCTAACAGCTAATTGGATCGGCTTTATCTAAAAGTGCCAAAAAGCCCCGCTGAAGTGCCTGATCTACACAGATTCTGGGGAGCAGGATCAAACTAACACACCTCCCTCTTCCAGTAAAGCACCGTTTTGTTTTTTCATGTCTGTCAGCACCCTATGTGGACAGAAGGGATTCAACATCTTTTTGCAAGCACCACTGCCTCTTCATTCAAGATGGCCAGAAGTGCATTTAGGATCTGCTAAAATGACCTGTACAAAAAGCATTACAACTTTGAAGGCTAAAAGAGATCCTCAAATCCATTATAAAAGGGTCAAAAGACATAACCTAACTAGTTTTATTAATTGATGAAAATGGGAAAAAAGTGTCTAACAATGAATAGCTGAGAACCTCTTTATAACTTCTGTGCAAATGGTTGACTTCTCAGTGGGCTAAATAAATATCCCCTACAATGGGATGAATTTAGCCCAATATGTTTCTTTTTCAAAAGGGCTTCCTTTGGCAGAGCAACCAAAACAAGTATAACTAGCTATGATTCTCCGAAGGGCCTTTAAAAAGAAAACATTTCTCGAGATAAAAGCCTCTCCAGGTTGAGAGCTGAACAGTTGTTCTTTAAGGTGTCTTATAAAGGGACAATGCCTTACATGATGCACTCAGGTCCTGTAGATACCAAACATACCTTACATTTAATATCTGAATAACAAAAATAAAAATCATGCTTTACTGCACCAGAATGCCGGGGGGGTGTTTTGGGGGGTTTTTTGTTTTGCTTTTTTAAGTCAATCAGCAACGGTGCTCAACTGCTAACAAGAAACATTTTGCACCTTTTAAGACTGGCTCTTAAAAAAGAAAATCCTAAATGGAGCAGCACATTACTTACTGTAATCTACCCCTTTAAAGAGATAAGTTATGGTGAAAGACTAAAGAATTCAACAGGGGCCTTTAAAGTCTGCATGACCTGAAGTTAAACCTACAGAAATGAAGAATAGGTCTATTATCTGAACAGTATTTTGAGACGCATTTCCAAATGCAGTACACAAGGGGAATGGAAACAGAGTGGATGAACTGCAGGGAATTGTAAGTGACAAGAAAATAATACATTTTTGTTGCACAAGCATCAATGTAACTATTGCATAATTACAATTATTTTTATTACTGGAATTGCAATTTTCTCTCATTATGTTAAAAAGAAAAACAGCAGAAGACAAAATATAAATTACTACAATACAAGCTCTTTTGTCTAGTAAAGAGCAGCACACTAATGTCTTACTTCATTCTCTTTTATCTTTTTCACAAAAAGATTTAATAACCTTACATCTTTGCTTTATCTTATATATTTACTTTAGCTATTTAACTATCCACAGGAGTGCCACAGTAGAAGGGTATTCCAGGCATGAGTTAGAGCCAATTCATAAATACTGCATATTGTCTGTAAAAAGTTTCAAAAGACCTAAACTGCAAATTTTTGAATAAAATGAAAAATAAAAATGTGTTTTTCACCTAAAAACCAAATCTTTCACTTTCAAAAACAGAAAAAATACCCTGTTGTTCCTCTTTGTCTTCCCAGTGGAAGGAGAAAAGGAAGCAGGAAAGGGGAGAAATCCAGGTTTTGTTAATATTAGAGGGAGAGCTTTTACTTAGAAATTTAACATTTCTACCAAAACTTTAAAAACCATTTTCAATTAAAGTTATTTTTGTAAACTTTATTTTTTCTGATCATCCCCAATCTAAGTTCAGTACGTGGGGTTTGAGCCTGGTGTGGGGTTCTGCAAATCGCTGAGTACTCAACTTCAACCGATTTTCCACATACGTCAAAGTGAATGGGAGTGATGGGTGTTCAGCAACTTTCAAGACCACCTACTGAGGACAATGACAAACTCCAAAGGTTTTTATTGCTGTTGGGTTTTTTTTCATATTTACAGAAGAGTGGCACTATCAGTAAGACACTGAGGGTACTGAGTTAATGGGAGAGAGGGAAGTCCCCATGTGACACAGCTGACACAGGACTGAGTTACTAACCAAATTTCGTTTCTCCTTACCACAGGATAGAAACATAGTTTCATAGTTTCATAGATTTAGGGTCGGAAGGGACCTAGTAGATCTTCTAGCCCGACCCCCCGCCAGGGCGGGAGAACAACAAAACCCCAAAACAAGAAACGGGACTCAAATGAGTCCAGCCAGGTAGGCATCCAGCCTCTTCTTAAAGACCCCCAGGGTAGGGGCCAGCACCACTTCCCTTGGAAGTTGGTTCCAGCTCCTAGCC